GCTTTGGTGGCCCGGGGGCAATATGAAGACTTCGGTATCAGACTTGGAGTATTCGAGGACTCTTTGAAAAGAGAAACGGTATGTCCAAGAGCCGCTGAAGCTACTCTAAAAAATGAAGGTACGGACCCCCTAAATAACCTTTGGACCCCCCTAACTTTTGACAGGGGGGTCAGATCGACTTCCGGTTTGCGCCAAAAATTTTCTTTTTTTATGCTCTTTCTAACGATGTATCACATGATGGGGGTTGCCATTTGAAATTTTTGAGTTGCCCCCCGCCCCCCCTCCCCCTGGGGGGGTGAAGAACTGAAAAGTACCTCAAAAAGTTTCCCCCTCGATATAAGGAAGGACGCCACAAACTGCAAATCGATATCATAATTAGAACTAAAGTTATGGCCAGTGGTGCGTAACTTTTGAATAACCCTGTATCATATTTTTGAAGTTTAAAGCCTTAGAAACCGAAAATTAAAGCAAAATCCTAGCAAAATGAGACTGTTGGTTCCTAGTTTTGAATTCCCGCCAGGTCCCCATGAGAGCAGTTAATTTGCTACCAACTGGTGTAAGAATATTGAAACAGAATACTTAGCATAACAGTACTTGATAAAATCTTATTTGATCAAAAACCATTATTACGCAATACTATTTATACTTTATTAAAGCTTTATAATCAGATTCAAGAGGAAATTTCTCTCACTCCGGTCAAGTTCTTTCACTACTGGTAGTGCCATCAATTTTCTAAAATCGCCTAACCTGTAGCAAAATTACTCACGCTTTCTAAGCATTTGCTAGATTGGACGTTAGCGATCTGGACTAATCTGCGGACCCTGCAGTGCACACCTCTTATGAAGAAGGTGCACCATGAAGAAACCTTAATTTGTTTTATGGGATTCGATTCTCCTCAAGATGCTGATCAAAAGTTATCATTGCGCCAACTTTCTACGATGCACCGAAAACATAGAAAACGGCCGAGAAGATTCAATTATTCGGCGACAATGAATAAAAAAGAACAAAGCATTCAAGAATAGGCCCGATAGAAGTAAGGAAAAAACGTAGCGCGTGTCCGTCTTCTTATCTGTACCTGCCGAGTCTGAGGCTATCTCCCTCCCGCTCTCGTCCAGTTGACGTTCCAACTTTCCTGTTCTTATTCTCTTCAAGAATCTGATTTGCATGGTCGAGCAAAACGGCGTGCGGAATCCGAGATAAGATTGCCGCTGGGTGCGGGAGTTCCCCTGATTTTTTTGTTGACACACAGCCGATCCGTTCACTCGAGTGTTAAAAGGAGGAATCTTTCTGGCTTTTTATTGCCGAATAATTGAATCTTCTCGGCCGTTTTTTTGCAAAAATGGTGCATCGTAGAAAGTTGGCGCAATGATAACTTTTGATCAGCATCTTGAGGAGAATCAAATGGTAAAAAACAATTAAGGTTTCTTCGTGGTGCACCTTCCTGTAAGATTTGCGGAGTCCTTTGTTCATATAATGTCAATTTTTATATTTAATTGAAACCAGTCTAGGCTTACTGATCAGCTTCATCATCAAATTACTGAGTTTTAATTTATTTTAAGATTCACTAATGGAACAAGTGGGTTTCACCCCATATGGCAGTTAGCCAAAAATTCTAAGTAGCAACAAAAATTCCCTCTGTGCGGGTGACAATTTTTGGACGGTTCATATTTGATATGGGTGCACACCTCTTACTCGTTTAGTAAAATAGGAGTCCTCCTTTTTCCTTTCTTAAGAATTTAAATGCAAAATCTTTCAAAATTCACTTTTTGATTCCAAAGCAAACTCTGAGAACATCAAGAAATCGCTTGTTCTATGATTTCATGAGAATAAACAAGCAAACCCAACTAGGTCATGAACCTTCAAGGTTCATTTGTTTGGCGCACAAAGATCTTTTCGCTGATACTTTCAATTTTTGATAATCTGGAACAACTGGATATAACACACTTTTATTGCTTGTGAATCTTGAAGTTCTTTTTTACTTTTTCTTCCTCTCTTTTGCTAAACTTCTAGAGATTTGGGCTTAAATTCTTTGCAAACATCGGTAGAAATTCTGAATGGTTTGTGTTCACTTTTTACTCGTGAATTAAAAACCATTTTTCCTTTTATTCTTTAGATACTAAGGGGGAAAGAATTCAAAGAGCTTTATTCAGAAACGGCTTTTTTCGCCCCCCTCTGGAATCTCTTTAGACCTGGCTTAATTGATTACACATACTTGGGCGGTTCTTCTCCAAAATTTTCAGACCCCCAAAATATTTGGGGGGTAGCTAGGAGGGGGGTGGAAGTTAAAACCTGTGAACCTCGATGTCTCTCAAACGAAGAAAGATATCGAGGTCCGGTTTGGATGAAAAATCGTCTAAAATTGCATACTTTAAGATTCTGAAGGTTGAAATCCCGATATCACATTTTTAAGTTAACGTATGTGCTTTCTTCCAGTTTTTAGGTCCAGGAAATTTCTTTTAAACAAAGAATTTACGAAAATCTCAAGTTTTTTTTAACCAAAACCAGTTATTTCAAATTGTTCGTCTTTCTCTGCATCCAACGAGTGGTTTTTGGTTTTCCAGTTTTTGAGGAAAAACAATTTCTTTTAAACAGTCTAAACTAAAAGAGCACATTTTTGTATTTGAACCAAAACCAGTTTTTCAAATCGATCGTCTTTTTCTGCATCCAACGAGTGGTCATGAAAGCCGGGGAACCAAACGGTTCCGGAGTTATGAGCGATTGAAGTTTCCGCTCAACGCGCGCCGACCGACTTTCGCGCGCCAAAAAGTCGGATTTGACCGTTATTAAATCAGATTGAATGTTCAAACCAAGCAAAATGAATTTATAGGGACTCTTGAGGGTCGCTGAGTTAAGAAATTACAGATACTTCCATTAAATTCACTTTTTTAAAATTACAGCTCTGTACCTCTATTCTAGAGGCCCACTGAGCGCCGACCGGCCGCTCAGCCGAAAAGCGCGAAAGTCGGTCGGCGCGCGTTGAGCGGAAACTTCAATCGCTCATAACTCCGGAACCGTTTGGTTCCCCAGCATAGTAGACCACTCGTTGGATGCGGAAAAAGACGAACAATTTAAAGATCTGATTCGGTTCCAATAAAAACTTGAGACTTTCGTAAATTCTTTGTGTAAACGAAATTTCCTGGACCTACATACTGGAAAAAAGCACATATGTTAACTTAAAAATGTGACATCGGGATTTCAACCTTCAGAATCTTAAAGTTTGCAATTTTAGACGATTTTTCGTCAAAACCGGACCTCGATATCTTTCTTCGTTCAAGAGATATTGAGCTCCACAGGTTTTGACTCTCAGCCCCCC